CGGCAGCCAGTGCATGCAGCCCAACAACATCATGGGCATCGAGAACATCTGCGAGCTGGCCGCCCGCCTGCTCTTCAGCGCCGTCGAGTGGGCCCGCAACATCCCCTTCTTCCCCGACCTGCAGATCACCGACCAGGTGGCCTTGCTGCGGCTCACTTGGAGCGAGCTCTTCGTGCTCAACGCGGCGCAGTGCTCCATGCCCCTGCACGTCGCCCCTCTGCTAGCCGCCGCCGGCCTGCACGCCTCGCCCATGTCCGCCGACCGGGTGGTGGCCTTCATGGACCACATCCGCATCTTCCAGGAGCAGGTGGAGAAGCTCAAGGCCCTGCACGTCGACTCGGCGGAGTACAGCTGCCTCAAAGCCATCGTCCTCTTCACATCAGGTGAGCCTGTCCGGCGGAGATGGGGCTACCAGGGGGGAGGTCGGGGGGCTGGTGTGGCTTTCTCGGGGCCCTTTCCCTGCCTGAAATGCTTGGAGCAAAAAGGGGGGGGGGTGGCAAGCACAGATCCATCATAAATAAGCCTGCTTTAGTGAGGCCTCATTTCCCCTGATCTGAAAGCATTCGCGTTGGCAGCGGCTGAGGTTATTGAGCATCGTAAAAAATGGATTCGATCTACCACAAAAAAAAAGGAAGCCAAAGGGGAGAAAAAACAGAGGGAGAAAGAGGCAGAAAGTCTAAGGGGGCAGGGAGGAGACTGGGGAGAGGCACAGAGAGAGAGAGAGAGGGAGCTCCCCACTCTGCACAGCCGCACAAATATTGGAATTTTAACAGATTGCCTGGGAAAAAAAATATCAAATTAAGTGTAGGCGGTGGAAACATGCGTGCATGCATGTTAACAATTTTTCTTATGATAGATGGTTCAAATTAACTAGCAGGGAAGTGCATTAGCATCGCCTTTGAAGTGCTCCGGTTGTAGCCTATAAGAATATAATGCATCTTTTATTATTGTAACCTGCGCGAGAGAAATATATAAACATCAAAGGGGAACAATATGCAGGAAACACAGCAAATAGAAACAAAGCCAGAGAAGAAGCCTTGCCGGATCACCTAGAGATAGGCTGTAAATACATTTAGACTGGGGTCCATCTACTCCAGCTTTCTGCCTTCCTTTCTTCCTTCTTGCTTTTCTTTTTAAACCTGCTTGGCCACAAATAAATCCTCCTAATAAATCTCACCCAAAACTAGGCCGAAGCAAAATTAAAAGCATTCTTGAGCAAAGATGGCAAATCGTTCAAAGGCCTTGTTTAACAGTAAGCAGTTGATAATCCATCAATATTTGTTGCCTTTCATGCATGAAAAATAGTATTTACATTGTATTAAAATGACTCTTAAATTTGCACAATATTGTAATGTAGCAAATGTAGTATTAATATCGATTTGAACATCAGATAATTTATTTAGACAGGAGGATCTAATTTGTATGCAGGGTGGTCAGAGACGTGTACTTTGACTGCCCCCTTTTAGTTTCAGTGCAAATGCAGTCTTGTAGTGTTGGAGGGAATATTTCTTTGCAAGGGATAAAGTGCAGATCTTAAAACAAATGGAAGATTTACTGAATAGCCAGCTCGACATTTTAATGCATTTTATCTTAATAAGTCTTCTTGATGGAAACATGTTTTTCAAAAGTGACAAAGAGACTTGGCAGCATTTATCAGCCTGATTTAACTCCAGAGTCTGCCTGCAGACTTACAGACCTTGCCTTGTCCATTCATTTCAGGGCGTTCATCAATACATCGGCCAATCGCGGCCACCCTGCCTTGGTTTAAAGGCAACTTTAAAAGATTGTGTTTAAATCGAGAGGGAACTGGTGTGATATTTAGTGCTCTCGCATGGCGGAGGCCCACCGAAGGCATTTGCCCCAAATCAGAAGTGGCTTTTTCTCCCTTATTTATTTTTCTTCCTCTTTCTTAAATGCTGGACCTCAGCTAGGACTGGAGCTCGGGTTTTATAGGATCTGTTTCTTCCCCAAAGTAAAAGTTGAAAGTGTATCAAGGAGGGGCTGGCTCCAGCAACTGGCCCAAACCATGAATGGGCTGTAGGAAGGGAAGGATAATATTATTTTGGAGGAGAAGTGCATGGGGGCATATCAGAGGCTGGAAATACAGCTGTCAAGAGCAATTCACCTTCTCCCCACACCCCCATGCACATATTTCCACTTTGGGCTAAACTTGTTTTGATTGCTCGCCAGAGGGGAATTCAGGGGAAGCCTTTCTCCAAGTCATCCAACTTTGAAGCAAACTTTGACTGATGGGAAAGACATTTTTAGGCACATTGTGCAATGCAGTTTACGGAGGGAATAGGCTGGCGTGGACTTCTCCTCTTGTGGTTTTTACATGTGAGCTCCGGATAGTATATTTAATCCGTAAAATTCTGGCCATTTTCCAAGGGCTTGGGTCGTGACCCAAAACTCCTCTCCCACCCTTCCCCCCCCCCCCAGCTCTATTCATGCACACACCTCCATTTCAGTAAATAAAAGTTCCCAGGGAGGGGTCCAGCTAGATAACATAAATCCAATAAATCTATTTGCAGCGCAATAAGAACTTTGATTTCTAGTTATATGCCAGCTGATTACATCTATATTTTCTGAACACTAAACTCTTCCGAATGCGTAACATGAAATACATTCCCTGTACCACAAAGGATCAGGCTGGTGTGTGCTGCACAGTAATGGTTATTTATTTACATAATTTCTTTTCCATAGACTGCAGGAAGAAATATTGAGCTTTCCCTTATTGACACACTGCTATATAAAAAGGGAGACACACAGACATTCCACATCAGCCCTCCCTTCCTAGGCTGAGATATAATTCACGTGTGGCAAATATGTAGTGCGTGATTTCTTACGTGGGCTTCAGCTCTCTGGCCTCCAGCCCCGAATCGAGCCTTTTTTTCCCTTGATTATTTTTACATCCTGTTTTTAAGTGAGGAATTAGGTGGGGAGGGGGGACTTTCAGAAAATCCAGAGGAACCCAGATGCCAGGGGCAGTTCCCATAATTAAGCGGCAGGAAATATTAACTATATTAGAAAATCATGAGTGTTTCTATGTCTATTGCAAACCCCAAGCCGTATTCTTCCTTTTTTCTCCTCTATCTGGTAACTTCCTTCCCTTGATGGTCCAGGGACGTCGCAGTGTAGGGCATTTCACGGAAATATCTGATAAATGTTTTACTAACCTTAAGGGTATGACATAGGGAGCCTAAAAAATTCCGTGAGTGTGTCACTAGGACCCTTTCATATTGCATTGTCTGGAAGTTGAATAGGATCCCAGTGCATAATGGGCAGATAATGCATGTAAAATAGCAAGATATATGTAAATATGGAGTGTGATTTGTGGCAATCAACATATGAACAGGCCTGTGGTTTTGATATATATTGCAAACAAGAACAGGCCCGTGCTTTTGATGAGTATCTATATTCCAACCTGGTGCTTTAGATGTTGCAAAATATCACTGCATTAAAGGTACAGTATGGATTAGCAAAACAGTCTGGCTAGGGTAATTGTATATCTGAGGGATGCCTAGTCCGCAGCTCAGGTCAAAGGGTTTTTTTTCCCCCTCAGAAGTTTCTGAATTATAGCTTGTTTTATTTGTCTTTTTGCTCGAGGCCATCGCATTGTAGATGAAGGTGTTCAAAAATCTTTGTAAACCCAGTTCTTGAAATAGAAAGACATAAACTTCAAAAATGCAGTCGCCACAGATTTCTGCTTTGAATAATTTGTTGTGTCTTTCCAGGGTCATAATTTTACATTCACAATTTTGTAACGTCCTTTTGGGGCCATTAACATGCATTCATTCATATACAGATCTATATATTAGCAAAGTCTGGCTTTGATCTATATTAAACCGCACTGCTAGCTCCCTGCTCGCCTGTGATCCTTATGTTTTTTTAAATATTTATTATTAATATATGAAACAATGTGGGTATTTGAGCCATAAAGGCAAATCCACTACATTTCACTGCCGGTGGTTTCCCGAGAAAGTCTCTCACTAATCAGTTTATACACAATAATCCGCTGTCTTGGAATTTTTATAGGTATCTATGTATATGTATGTGCGTCTCAAAGAAGGAAGCTTCCAGTTTATGCTCTCAGATTAGTATGCAGTTGCCTAGATCGCAGCACTCTGCAGGCTACGAAGGATATATTTCTGGCTATATATCTGAAATGCACACATCCAGGGAGGATATATTCCTGGCTACATTTAGGCAATGCTCAGGCACCGCAGCCCTTTCCAGCTTTGTGTCTGATAGCTGCAGATGTCTGCTTAGCACAGCCTGGAGTAGCTGAGCCATATTCCCCTAGATTATTATACAGTTTACCAAGATGTGACCAATTTTCAATTACTTGATGTAAGGCACAGATAGGAGCACACCCTCCTTTTTATCTCTTTCTTTCTTTTTCTTTTGGTCTTTTTTGGCGATTGCACAGCGCAGGCGGCTCCAAACCCTGCAGCATTTTTGGCTTGATCTAATTTCCAGGCGTGTCAACAAATTCGTGTGTGTGTGTGTGTGTGTGTGTGTGTGTGTGTGTGTGTGTATAGCTAGATATAGGTATATCTATCTGGATATATAGCTAGATAAATCTATGTATCCGTGTCGAGAGAGATACACAGACGCACACGCACGCGTGTGTCCTGCTGCGTTTCTTTGGGGCGGCGCGGATGCTGTGGCGGGTCAGAGGGATGCGATGGATGGCTCTCCTGGCTCTGCATTTGAGTTGTATTCCTGGGACAAGGCGCGGCAGTAAAACAAAATAAATCCGCTCATAAACACAATAACCCTGCTCCTCCTCCCCACCCACCCCCCTCCCTCTCCTCCATGCACTCCTGGCAGAGGACAGGTTGCCGCGGCTCGGCTGGATTGCTTACATCTCCCCCCCCCTAACCCAGCCCGTTTTACATTATTTATTTCCAAGGTGAAGGAGGAAGCACAAAGGGAGGTTTGCGTGCGTGTCTCTCTGCCTGGGAGCGGGCGATCGCCGGGCTGCTGCCTGCCGGGGGGTGGGCAGGGGCCATGGGGAGGTGCAGCTCAGCCCCGCGAAGGGGGTTTGCTCATTGTGTCACTAACTCTTTGCCCCCCTTGTCTCCTTCCCCGGCGTGTGGCCGCCCGGGCAGATGCCTGTGGCCTGTCAGATGCTGCCCACATCGAGAGCCTGCAGGAGAAATCTCAGTGCGCCCTGGAGGAGTACGTGCGGAGCCAGTACCCCAACCAGCCTAGCCGCTTCGGGAAGCTGCTTCTGCGGCTGCCTTCCCTGCGCACCGTCTCGTCCTCAGTCATCGAGCAGCTCTTCTTCGTCCGCTTGGTAGGTAAAACCCCCATTGAAACCCTCATCAGAGATATGTTACTGTCTGGGAGCAGCTTCAACTGGCCTTACATGTCCATCCAGTGTTCCTAGAGCCCGGCCTCCACCCCCATAGGGACCCTGAGGACCAGCACCCACAGGAACACACGACCCGCGAGCAGTCGGGGTGCAGAGAGGGGGGAACAGAGGACACACAAAAAAAAAACCAGAGAGAGAGAGAGAGAGACAATGAACAAAAAAATACATGCATAAAGACTCGCGTAGGATCAGCTCTGTCACCCTGGGTGAAAGGAACAGGAAGGACCTGGTGTCTGTGGAAAATGTTGGGGACAGACATAAGAATAAACATAAATAACTAAAAGGACCGAGGGGATTTTAATCAAGCCAGAAGGAGAATAATGGATCTTCCAGGATTTATTGTGGACTGATGTGGATATATTCTGTACAGAAACAAACACTGAAGTTGAACTGAATCTTGTGTAGAAAAAAGACAAAACAAAAAAAACCCCACAAAAAAAAAAACACACGCAAACACTTACCACGAACATTGTTATTCATTTTGTAAAATATTAGTCTTTATTTTCTTTTTTTTTCTTTTTTTTTTTTTTTTGTAAAACTTAAAACAACGTATGCGCATAAAGGAAAAAACAAGAAACAAGAATTAGGGGAAAATAACATTTTCCAAATAATTATTAAAAAAAATGTCCTGTGTCTATGTATCTATATCTGTTTTGTATTTTTTTCTGGTTCCAAACCAGGTTTCCTGTGATTCTATACTAATAATTTTTGATATAACCCTTTGCTTCTTATAATGAGTGCGATATATGTTGTCGAAGCTGTTCTTCAAGAATTAAAATTGAAGTGAGAATTTAAACAAAAATAAAAGAATTTAGCAAAAAAAAAAACCCAGCCCACCACCCATGAGTCTTGTTGCTTGAAACATGCCAAACAGAATTGATAAAAATATATATGCTCCCTACCCTTTAACTTCCGCTAGCATTTAAATGGGAGAAGTTGGATTTTTTTTTAATCAAAGGATCACAGAGTTGTATAAATGGTCCAGGATTGACTTGATTGTGCCAGTTGAGAGCGGAGATGTCAAGGCTTTTATAAGAGGCAAGTGGAAACACAAGCAGTTCAATGCCAGAGAGGAATGAGTTTCTCTGAGATTGTATAGTAGCCTTTTCCTAACGCGATGTGCGTATATACCGCTCTACACATTTTGAAACACCCTTCTTGTCAAGTTGAAGTTTCTGCTAAGTTTCCCCATTGCTGTTTCCTTCTAGAATTCAATGGCAAGGATTGGAGTCACTGTATTCTACCATCACTGTGCGGAGGTGTACAATATAAGGCAGACTGTAGTCATTATTCGTTTGTTACAGGCTTGGTGGGTGTTTTTTATTATTATTATTATTACCCAAGGACTCAAAAGACCCACCAGTGTGTGTTCTGATTCTGCGCTGCATTTGCTATCTGCTGAAAGGATCGGTATTATTGTTTTTCTTTCCTCCAGTCACTAAGTGTAAAGGATATTCCCAACCCATTAATATAGAAATCTAAGCGGAGGTTTACTCGTTGGGTGGTGTATGAGTGTGTGTGCGCCTGTGTATCCCACACATCCACACGTGTAGTCTATTAGGGACGCGGGCACACATCCTAGCTGGGTCCACGGGCTGTGGCCTCTAGAAAGCGAGGATGGGAGAAGTGTGCAAAAGCCCCGGGTTTTTTTTTCCCCCCTTTCTCCTTTTTAATTTAAAAATCGTTTCCATAATGGAGCTCCTTTGAAGGTAAAGGCTTCACAATGCTTCTAGCTGGTGGTGCAGATCTCTGTAACAGCTTTCAGTGCATTAATGTTTTATAGGATCTGAGACGGAGCTGTAAGAACACATACTGCCAAGGGAGCTCTTTCTTAACGTATTAATAAAGCTGGATCTTTAAAAATAACATTTCCCCCCCCCCCCCACCCTCCGCGCCCTCCAAACAAACCCGGATGAGGCAAGATTTTCAATTTGTGGAGTCATTGGCAATGTTTTTCTTTTAATTTGCTGTCCATGCTCCCCTGGTTTGGTTTTTTTTTTTTTTTTCCTCTTTTTTTTTCTCTCTCTCTCTTTTTTTTTTTTTTTTTGCATTAACAAGATCCTTCAATCCAACCCGCTTGGGGTTTTTAATATTCCAGGCGCAGCCGATCCGAGGCGAGAGCAGCTCTATACAGTAGGCACTTATAGCTGGATAATCAACAGCGCGGGCAGATATTCTATGGGGGTAGAGCCAATTTCAATATGGAGACCCGAGCTGTCTTCCTGGGAGCAGCTCTGGGCCTGATTATTTCAAACCTGGGACGCCAGGGTGGAAATCAGACACAATTCCCCCCCCCACCCTTCCCTCCCTCCCCAACTCACATGGTGCTCTGTAGGCGACAGCTTTGTTCCTCCTCCAGGTCGGCTTCCCCAGGCAGAGAGGGTGGACCAGCCGTGCTCTCTACAGAGAGACAAGGGAAAGCAGAGCTTGAACTCGGCCGCTCAGCACTTGGAGAGACTGGAGTGATCCTTCAGCATTGTTTTGATGGGATGGGTGTGGGGTGGGATGAGGATGGTGGGGGAGAGGATACAGCGTGGCTCTGAGCGAGGAGATTTCGCTTCCTTCCAATGAGATGTAAATATATTCATTACAGTGTGATCCCACTGATGAAAACAGAGAAACTTTTTCGTAGGTCAGAAACGTATTTTTCAATTAATTTTCCTATTTATGAATAATGATAACCCAGCGATTGCCAAGAACCACGCAGGGGTGCAGGCGGTGTGCGAGCTGCACTGATTTCCATGTATGTGCCTAGCAAGAAGTGTTTCGTTCCCTTATTAAACTTTGCTTATATACGGTGTTGTGTGCTGCAGTATTCACTCTCCAGTATCTGTTGTGTGCGGGGAGATGTCCCTTGGCCACCCTCCGGGCTCTTGGCCCTGCCGTTATTTGCTGAAGATACATTGTCTCATCTTGTCTCTGGTCGCCCAGTGTGTGCTGCAATGTTAATGTGGAGAAGGGCCAGGGTCCCTCAATCAGCTGGTTCTTACGTACAATATGCTGTTTGGAAACCACCTCTAGTTACATTTCTCCTGCCTTGTTGCCTTGCTTAGCCTCAGACTCCTTCCTTGACCCGACTGCTGCATTTCCTCCCCGCCTTTGCAGTGGAAGCGAGTGCTTTGATGGTGTCCCCGCTTGGGTCAAATACAAGTTGGGGTTTGCTCTGCTGGCTGCAAAAATGACTCTGCCAGGGCCTGTCTGCAGCGCAGCTGTTTGCTTTTTCCCGCTGCAGTCACAGGGTGTGCTCATTAAAAAGTTTGTCAGCACTCAGACACTATAAGGCACAGACTTGGGCAATGCACAGGTTTACTCATTGCAATATAGTGACCTGGCCATACCTTTTAGCTTCCCACTGACTCGCTTGCTTCCTCCCACACCCCAATTAGGGTGTTGCCATTCAATCAAATCAATATTTGGAGTCCGCCTCCTTTGTGCTTGAGCCACAGCTGATTTCTTGGTAGACTGTCAGGGCAGGATCTCTGCCTACCCGGGGAGATCAAATAAACCTTGCTGGTTTTGGGAGGTGGGGGGGAGGATTTATTTATTTATTTATTTATTTATTTTAAATAGATGGTTTTCGGGCCGAAGGGAAAGGTGGGAGAGAATCGTATCTGACCCTTTCCCTGTCTAGATTTCAGTCTCTGGCTCAGCTGACCTGGGAAGCCAGTTTTGGCAGTCCTGAGTCTGCCGCCTTCTATCAGAGCCGAGAGCAGAGCAGAGATGGTTTAGAAACATCTACAAGGGAGAAAAGGATGGCCCCGGCCCCTCTGGCATCCCTTAAAATTAGCAGGGATTTGAAAAGCCTTGTAAGTGGCACTTTTTACTGCACACATCACACCACTGAGAGGGTCGGGTTTAATAATGCGTCGCACAGGCAGGTTCGCCTATATGCAGAGATGCTCTTTTAGTGGGAGATAAATAATGGATATTATACAAAGCGTTTCCTCCGACGCCTCCGGCTCCAGGTGATTTTACGTTACTGTAAAAGTAATAAAGGAAAAAGTAAACTCCACTTTAGTTATTGCAAAGGAGACTGACTCCAAACACCGAGCGAAAATACATTTTAGTAGACGGAAAGGGGCTTAATCCAAACTCCCTCTGCCTTATGAGAAAATTACCTTTGACATATGAAAGTCAGGCCTTCCCTTTCCCGCAAACACACCGAGCGCCTGAGAACTTTGGCTGCTTTGAAGTAGATGTAAACTGTTGTAGATGTAGACACAAGCCTCAGTTATAAATCAAAAAGGGATCTCAGGAAGTTTCCCCCAAGGAACTGCTAGACTAGCAAGACTGCACATTCGCCTCCTGGTGGAACAGCCCTGCTGGAATGGATGGATGGATGGATGGATAGATATTGTTTCACCAACTACACCACCAATGATCAAGTGAAGAGGCATTCATAAACAGTGTCCCCTAATGACATGTTACACGGTTATTACAGATCCTGGCGCTCTGCTTCCTCGGGTTTCATGGAACATTGTGATTATTCTGGAGGTTAGCTTTGAGCCTTGAAATAATGTTTTCACAGACCCGATCCTTAAGCCTGTCTAATTGCGTGCTTTCTTTAGAAATCCTCCTCCTCCCCAACCCCAGCTTCTTTCCAGTGCCCTCCTCCCCATTTTGGAAACAGAATGACTGAAACAAGAAAATTAAGCAATGCATTAAAAAAAATGCCCAGCGGTCCCTTTCCTATTTCGCTTCGCTGCCATTGGCTTTGATGTGGTTTTTACACCATCCGGGTCAGAGCGACCGGGGAGGAATATCACTGCAGCAGTTCAAGGGTGCTTGGTGGGAATATATATGCACACACATATGGAGCGTGTTGCTCTCCTCCACTGCTTGCCTGGTCGCCAGCACGTTGTTCTGCCACCTTGCAAACCTGCCGGGTTTCCCAGCATTAATGAGGTGGTGATTCCTCCTAACATGAGACTGTTTCACAGAGGGGGAGGGGGGGAAAAGGGGGGCGAGATGGGGCAGGGAGAGGGCTATTTGGGAACACAAGTGGAAACTCATAAAACTCTTGTTAAAGTGCTTGCTCAGGATCCATGGCGTCACCAGGTCTTTTACTTCGGAAGCCAAAGAGTTTTATTCCTAAATGAGTTAAAGAGCCATTTACCTCTGTCGTGTTCTATTCATCAAGCCACAAGTCGAGAGTCCCTAACATGAAACTATTTGTTTGCTTACACAACCAGCTGGGCGCAATTTCACGTCTGAGATATCTATCTGAAAGCGCCTCTCATTTATTATCCTTACTTGTCAGCGAATCCATTTTCCGACTCCCTTTTTTTTTCATTGAAGGATCTGGAGTAAAATGCTCCCCTAAATATCTCGGGCTCCCCCTCCGATCCCAGCCCCAACCGGCTGGAGAGCAAGGGGGGGAAGTGTCGAGCTCACAAAAATAAGGTGACTTCAGTCTTACAGCCCTCCCTCCTCTCTCTGTCTCTATCTCTGTCTCCGTCTCTGTCTCTGGGTGCCTGGTGGATGACTGGAGTTAAAAAAAAACTGCAGGCATCTTCCTGCAGGATATTTTCTCTGGTGCAAGGTGTAACCACCTGTAAAACAAAATTACAGAGGACTGGCATAGAAAAGCCCCCGTCTCTTGCCTTGTCAGCTGCAAGTACAATAGCTTGCTCGGAGCTGCTGTGAGGTTGCACGGTGTAAAACGTATGACCTTGGTGACTGTGTCACCAATTATTATTTCTGGCCTGGTGATGGTTGTAACTCAAATCTAAATGCCTGTATGATTGGGGAAACAGGGGAAGGCTCATTCCCCCCACGTGGTTTCCATTGGAAACACAAAGACACAACGTGAAAGGTACCAGACCGGTTTATAAATATAATTGCTACTAAAGAGAACAATTAACAAAGAGGACAGTAGGAAACTGTATCTTTTTTAAACACTTTTACCCCAATTTTGAAAAATCAGGATAATGTGAGTAGTGTTTCAAAGCAGGACCGTCTGGCTGACAAGAGAATCACTGTTAGTAATCTCAATGATGGCTGTATAATAGTGTATATACATCTCCTTGTCTGCAGAGCCCTCCATCAAGCTTAAAGCAATGGATCAAATCCAAAACTACAGAGTATAAAATAACCCCACCTGTAAAAAAAAAGAAAAGAAAAAGAAAAGAAAAAAGGAGAAGGAAAGAGAAGTGGGGGGGGGGGGGGAACTTTGGGGGGGGGAGTACTTTCAGGGAGATCAGTCTGGTTGCTGTAAGCTATCCTATTGTGTTGATTTAGGAAGACATTTGCTGTATATAACGTTTAAGGCTGATAATATCATTGCCTGGCCAAATAAATAAAGCATTGGCCAAACCGTGGGGTCAGCTATCGATCCCTGGGCTGCGAGAGGAGGGAGAGACAGCCCATGAGAGAGAGTCAGAGGTTCAGGGTGTCTGCAAGGCAGACACAGAGATCCTGTGTGTGCAGGGGAGGGAGGCTGTGCGTGTCTCAGAGAGGGATATTCTGTGTGTGAGAATCAGACAAGGATATTCTATGCGAGTGTTTGAGAGCACACTCTGTGGGTATAGGAGGGAGAGGGGGAGAGACCGTGTGTGTGTGTGAGAGAGAGAGAGTTTTCAGTCCGCTTTGCAAAGCCTCATTAGCATTCCCTCCCTGCCCATGGACCTGCACTGACAACTAACAGAGATATCCAGCTCACCACTAGGCCTCCTCTCCTTTTGTCTTCAACTCTCTAAGAGAAACAGATTTATACGTGGGCTCTGCGCAGTGAACTAACTTCCACTTGGTTCCAGAAGAGGCAAGATGTTAAAAAAACAAATGGGCAAGGCCCTACCCACTGTTGTTTCCCAATGGGTTGTGCAAACTTCTATCCCTTCCATATAATGCCCGTGCCCGTGCGTGTGCTATCGCGGCAGTGTAAAGAGCTGCACCAGTGATGGTGAAAGTGGTCTGCTACTTTTCCTTTGTCACCTGTAGCAAGAAGCTTTGGTGTGGTTACACATATGCGTATCATGAGGTTTTTTTCGCTCTTACGTACGATTTATGGGGCATATCAAAAAGAGCTTCATTTTTTTCCCCCTACAGGGTGAAAACTACCGGTTGCTTTAAAAAAAAAGGAAAGAAAAAAAAGAAAAGAGCAAGTCTTTACATCGGTGTTTGCTTTGTCTTTTCCCCTGCTTATTTCCCGATTAACGCTCCTCTCCAAACGGTGACAAAATTCTCCACAAAGAGCCAGAAAAAAAGAGGAATTGTGACTCTCATCTCTAGGCCAGAAAGCTCTTTAAACTTCCAGCGTTGAGCTCAAATCCATTTCTAACAAGGTTTCTGAGAAGTAGAGTGCACACAACTTACTGCAAACTATACACTGCTCCCTGAAGTTATAAATTAAACTAGTCAGGTATTTTTCCAGAGAGCGTACAAATTAGTCCATGTTGACAGATGTTTGTCACTTAGTAACTTCTTTCCAAGTTTTTTTTTTCCTCCTCTAAGCCTTGTTTCGAGCTTGCTTTGTTGTTTTAAAATATGCATGTCTCTCAGGAA